TACTATTCTACTTTACTTCAAAATTGGGCCCAAAAAATAGGCGCTAAAGTCGTCAAGAATAGGTATGGATTTCGCCGCGCAATTTGCCGCGCGCACCCTCGGACGCACGACTTGACCGTCCCCCATACGGCAGATATAGTGTGGAGAGCGCATTGACTTGCACTTACACATATTCCGCAGTGAATGTTCTAGAGCAATCCCCAAAGATTTCACAACATGGAAACCAAAATGCGCAAATACTTTTCCGACAACCTAATATTTCATCGTGAAGTGGGTCAGAGGATGCGTCCTCGCACTCGACGTCCATTCAGAATCGTAGAGCACAGTGTATTGAATGCGTATTGGTCTATACAATAACTTGCGGTAGCCAGTCGGTGGAAAAGTCTATGCTTTTTCTTTCCAGACGAGCCCGGAACCAATTAACCGTCCTCGGAGGAATGGAATGCTCAGCTATCCTGGGCGGATATCGATCACCACCTCGCCCTTCTAGTTCATTGTACTGCAGAAATATAATATAACTTCTAATACAGTGTACCATGCGCCTTGACCATGATATGGAGGGGATGGGAATGAGAAGAATCAGAAATCACAATTGCTCTAATTCCCAGGTAAATAATGAAGTTTCACTTGGTGTGAAAACGGATTAACTAATGCAATAACCGTACGGAATTAGAATGTAGGGTTTGGATACGTTCGGTAATAAGCACGCCCACTTTTAGCACTCTAGTGCCTTATTAGATTAACCTAACTTTACCAGTTTAATCGATCAGCCGACCTGTATCTGTCACACATACATGAGTACACCTTGTAATCCAGATTGTTACCATAACTCTACCGATTGAGGCAGCAAAAGAACCGTTGGAATGCAACCGTCCCAGTTAAATCCCATCAAATGCTTTCTTTTCCCGGTTAATCCTTGAATTTCTTCACAAATTCCATTCAGTAAAATTTTTGCCAAAGTAATTGGAGTCAAAGGTAAGTTCAATACAGTAATCGAGACATCACAGTATTAAAAGCTATTGCAGAAAAAGTTTTCAGTAAGTGAGGTCACAACATTGGATGGGATTGAAAACATGTTAACTTGTACCTCCAATAATACTCAGTATAAAGTTAGTTAAAGTTTTTTGGCGTTAATCAATCCCGACTGAGGGATGCGCACCCGCACTCGACTTCCATTCAGAATCGCAGTGGCGTAATGAGTGCGTATGTGGCCTTTACAATGACTTGCGGTGGCCAGCCGATGTACAAGTCAGTGCTTTTATCCTCCCAGACAAGTCTGGTACCAATTAACCGACCCCGGAGGGATGGAAGGCTTGGTTGGCCTAGGCGGGCATCGATCCGGGATTTGAACCCCTGACCGTGCGTGTGATATAGTGCTCATCAATACTCAGTATACTAGATACAATTTTGCACGATCTCACTGATCAAGCTAAGTTATTCGGGGAACATAATAAGAGAAACATTTCAGTGAGAAAAACAACACATTCGCTATGTACTTTTAAGTAATTCAAGTTAGTGCTGTCATTGAAGAAGAGTACGGTAAGGGAATGCGATCAAAGGGTAAGTGGCTGAACCAATGCAAGTCATGTCCTCGTCAGGCGATGCATTCTCTCTGTGTATAAAGTAGAAGCTCCGAACGGCAAATTCTTTTCTTGACAAAGCTTTTCCTGAACACTTTACTCTTGGGGGGTAGTCAGTTGGGTATATACTTCAGCTTGATCATGAGGAAGAACTTCGATAATATAGAGCACTGCTGATTTTCACTGTGTTTTCCCCTATCATCAGTGCAAATGCTCATTGACACTTACTTTCATGCGTGCTACCGTAATACTAACTCGAAGCAACAATTACTACTGGCATAACAGCTGTATTCCTCTGTTGCATCAACATTGATCGGGTGACGGTAATTCGAAAAGTTTGGGCATTAATTCCTTTTTGCATGGTAAAGGATGAAGAAAAATTCGTTCGACGGTAATCATCCTTTCTGAAGGATGCGCCCAGCATTCGACTTCCATTCAGAATCTCAGTGGCCTATAGAATGCGTATGTGGCCTATACATCAAACTACAGGGTCTTTTCAGAATCTGGAGGACGGCTACCGATCGAGCGAGGGCGGCTACCGATCACGGATTCGAACCCATGATACATAGTGCGCCACTTGTCACTACACATACCACCTTCACCCTACTAAATATTAAGAGACATCTGATGTTTCATAACTGCTAAGCAGTCGTCACCTCCGTCGACGTCAAAGAAAAACTTATGGCAAACTCTACCATCCTCATTTTTAAGAATAGTCATAGATTAATTCAAAAGGAAAGGAGCAAAATACCTTCCCATCTGTCTGTTAGAGGCAATTCATAATTTCGTCAATTGATTTCGGCAGTTGGTTTACCAATAAAAGATCACTTAGAATATCGTTATGGCACTATATGCAGTACAGTACGCATAAACAGTAAGTAAACACCACCAAAAGTACTCATAGAGCTTATCCTCCTTTATCTGGATCTTTATCGAGTCGAGGCTTATCGATGGGAAGAAAATTTTGAAACAGCCTTGTTCATCTGAAACTTCTGAGCGAGACGGGTCTTCACAGGGGAATATTTATTTTTCCTGAATTCCCCAATAGTCACTTCCATCACCACCAAACACTTGCTCATTTTCAGAGGCAATGGAGCAAGAGAGGGCGATTCGTACCACATTCCAAACCTGGGAGAGCCTACGGCCATTTTTGATTTCAGATTCAAACCTAGCCAGAGTCAAGCACATTGGGGCTAAGGGCTGTTGGTGGTGGTGAGGACTGCGAAAAATAAGAAAGAAGGGCATTCTCGTAAAATCTAGTTTTCACCATGTTCAGAAGCGATTTTGGGCAACAGAGTGGTAAAATTTTCTTCTCTGAGCAATAGCAATGAGAAAATAATTTGGTAAGTAATCTTGTTGATTTCTGATAATGATGTGAGCAAAACAAAAGGTAGTAATCAAAGACAGCATTGCGACTACCAATACAACGTGTATTGGCATAACAGTAGTAGTAGAGTAATATTACATTTCGGTTGCCAAGGTGCTGGCTGCCTCTGGCTACGCTGGAATCAGCTAGCAAGGAAAAAAGCTCTCTAAGGAATGATAACAGAATGCTCGTGAATTGTAGCCGTCATACGGTAATTGTATGAGCGCTTGCACTTTAGTCAATTACCTAAGACTTTTATACAAGTACTACGAACATGGTTGCCATAAAGGGCATCCACAGTACACCACGAAAAACTCAAGTTATTGTGGTAAGTAGCTCTGCTTACTCCATTTCATTCAAAACCACAACACTGACTACGAATTTTTGTGGAAAAGAGAAAATGTCCAAGAGCTACAAGTATAATACCGTTAGTATAGTAACTGATAGCTAGTGGCAATAAAAAGTGTAAAGAGAACTTCAACTATTAGACTCCTTTCTTCTTACAGCCCCTTATAGCAGGGTGACGGGCAGAAGGATCGGTTTTGTGTAATCGATTTGCCGCACGCGGCTGTCGCGGGCCATTTGTTTTGCCGTTATTACAGCTCTACTTTCTTCATACAGCTCAATCGATATGCGTCTATTACTTATGGCATGATTGTACTATTCTTTCTTTTTTCCTGTGTTTCTTACCTGCCGCTGCATTCTGCTACAAACCCTCGCGCGCGGCGCTCCTCTCGCTGCGACGCGACAATTTCGATCCTACTGCACCACACCCATTATAGCCAGTTCTAGAGTGTGTATATTCCTGTGAGTTTTGAGATCGAGAGTATGGGTACACTCGAGCGATTCAGACCGCACGCGGCAAATTGGGCGGCGAAATTCGCGGCGATTCAAACGACTCTGGCGCCTATTACTGGGGCTCAAACTTGAAGTAGAATATTTGTGTATGGTCAGCTGATCCTACTAATCTACTCTACTTAAAGTTTGTCCCCAATAATAGGCGACAGAGTCGTTCGAATCGCCACGAATGTTCCGTAACTCTGAGATCAACCGTCCATTGGAACGGCGTTCCCTCGTTTTCGAGGAGAATCCGCTGCTGCACTTTCGCGTTGGTCAGCAAGGATAAGTGATTATAAGAAGAAACTGTCCGACATCACCCAAGCACTTGACCTCTTCCCGGAACTGAAGCGGCGTTGGATTCGTGTCAGGCCTATACAATAACTAGCAAGGAGAACCTTGTTTCAGAAGACAGTGCTCCTCTTTTCTGATCAGGTGCCAAGAGGCCGAACTCGGAGGGACGCAAAGTTTAATAACCCCGGGCAGACTTCCAGTCAGGATTTACTACTTAGGTCATACGGAGTCTTGAACGCTTGCGACTACCTGCCTCCTTCTCTCCAATATCAATGGAATCTAAACAAAGTGACCCTCCTCTCTCCCAACCCGGCGATCGAACACCATGGGCCCCCACTCTAATGTAGTGGTAATTAGAATCTGTATATCGCCGATCTGTGATGAATCCAGCTGTTCTTCTACTACCTAGCAATAATCCCGAGCTCGCACAGGGCCCGCTTTCACATGTTCGCTGCCCTTTCCTTTTACAGCGATTATGGGAATAATTGTTGTGAGTAGGGTTCTCCATCAGTGGACCTATCAATATGAGCTTGGCGACGGTATCGTCCCCGTTCAGGTGATTCTTGCATAGCATGGTTCTTTGCCTCGGCTGGGGTTGGAATCTTTCCTTTCAGATCGTAGACATCAACTCAAATTCCAAAGCATTAGACTACCCTGCTGTAGCGTCTGTGGTAACTGCCAACTGGGTCACTTGGTTGGAGAAGAGAATCTTGAGAGATGTGCCCGTCCAATGGTGCCACTTCTGTAAGGTGAACATCGAGTGAGGACAGTTCGGCGAGCTGCACCATCTCCTCAAGGAGGCATAGAGCCCCTCCACGTAAACGATCGACCGTCGGTGTGACAGTATTTATGATGTAAGCAAAATATTTATTGTAATCGAAGAAGAAAAAATGGAGAACATCGTAATCCAAGCGATCATGAATTCACTGTTTAGGAAGGGTCTTCCCCAGCTGATTGTTGATCTCAGGGGGTTCGGTAACGAATTCAGGATTGACTTGTCCCTGTATCGAGCGCAGTAAATTCTCACTGCTCAATTTAGGATAGCCGTAGAATGGTGCGTTTGTAGTGTTCTGAAATATCGGCAATTACCACCAAGTACACCAGATTTCTATCTGACATACCTGATTTGCGTCATCAGCAGCTTCCAGGAGGTCGAATGGTCTGTTTGTCTTAGCGTCATACTTGATACCAGTTGCTATAGAGAATTCTGAGTTCCATATACCCTAAAACACTTAATTGCTCGATAGAGCTTTTATTACTTTGACAATAACAAGCCTATAAGTCTAATATTTATGACTTTATGACGTCATCATGGAAAGCAGCAGTGAAAATTACATTCTAAGAAGTTAATGTACGTCATTACTACATAAAGAACGATGATCAGCTCAAAACGACCCCTGTTCACCAGATTTGAGCACAGATATACCACAATTCAACTAGTAATTTTATCGAGTCATAAAGTCATTTGATAAAGGAGATTAGCTGAATTCAGGTATTAAAAATTAGGGGCCACAACGAGAATTTTGTTGTAATAGTGGGTGTTACCTGAATAATTCCCCGTTGACAGTTCGGATCTCGTTTACCCGCAACACAGTGATCATGGAAAGCTAAAATAAAATTAGTAGTAGATAAAATGTAACAGTAGTGGAGGTGGCGCAGTAGTGAGAAGCGCCTCTGGGCACGTGGACAGACCACTAGGTTCAACCCTAAGCAAGTCCAAAGCGCTATCCAGACTTCAGAGATGGGCCATTAGGTATTAGAAATGTCTGAAAGGGCAAAATGTGATCACATTGAAACAGTTTTGTACTCACAATCAGTCAAGATAAGCATTCAAATGTCTTTGAAGCTGGAGCAAAAGCCGAGTGCAGGGCGCATCCCTCGCCATTGGTCGAGAGATGAGCGGAAGTGTTGTGTGCTGACTTCCCCTCAGGTCTCGCCCAAATCTAAGGATCCAGAAATCTCGACCTTAGTTTAGTAGTCTTTTTTACGTTTATTACTCTTTGAACCTTTCTCAAACTCCCTGGAAATTCTTGAAGGGCCTGAAGGGGGGTGGGGGGAGACAATGTTCGTATCTACGCATTTGAAAGAAGGAAAGTCCCTCTTGTCTCGTTGAGGGCTACAATTTACACTTGCACAAACAATTCATAGCAGTCTCCCTAGTCAGACGCTAATTTTTGTTGTTGTTCGGCTCCTGGGACTCGCCATTTTGGGAAAGCTTACATGCAGCGAGACAAATGACCAAGACAACCAACCAATTGTAAGACATGACACCGCGCAACGAGACAACTAGCTAGAATAGCCGCGCTTTGCTAGCAACTTCATTTTATTATTACACTTACTGCACTTCTAACTGCGCCTTACATCGGGAAATTGAAATTATTTTTCTCTTCCGCATATCACACTTGAGGTGAGGCAAGACAAAAAGCTTCAGCTGTTCCGTTTACGTCTAATTCACTGGGTAACGAAGAGAGGTAGCTGCAGAGAGGCAATCCACTTCTTCATGTAGATAAGGAGGGCCGATAAGGATCGCGCTCAATGGGATCCGGTTTTCACTGGAGGCAAAGCGACGACATTTCCGAACGTGTACAAAAAACATGATGGCGGAAGTGGTGTAGCGGCATGTGACACTATCTCATACACATGGTCACGGGATCAAATCCCGGATCAATATCCGCCCAGGCCCACCAAGCCTTCAATCCCTCCGGTGCCGGTTTACTGATACCAGACTCGTCTAAGAGGATAAGAGCACATCGGCTCTTTGCACATTGGTTGGCCACCGTGTGTCTCGTATAGGCCTCATCCCCTTCACTAGGCAACTACGATTTTGGAAGGAAGTCGATCGAGGGGGCGAATCTCTCACGCTTGGTTGATCAGCGCCCGAAAATTTTCTTTTCATCCTCACTGGTAGAACATGATAGAGGAATGTCACTGTTTTTGTGGTTCACAGTCAGCACTACGATCAGCATTCTTATCAGATTGGGGGTAAGGGAGAATGGTAGCTCGGGAAGCCACTTCTAAGAGAGGGTAGCAGCGCCCTCTGATCATCCCAATGTGTTGCCAACTGAGCTGAACCTAAATTGAAAAATTTCAAACCATTACAGCTTACGTTTTCTTATACGGATTCGCACAATGTTGTCAGTGTCTCTGTAGCATAGGTAGACGGAGTCGTACCGGCCTTTCACGAAAGTCCCAGGCGGAAACCTCTCTCCATTGATATAACAAGCTGAAATATCAGATCTCCAGGAGTCTAGTGGCTAGCGCTAACTGCAGATCTTAAGTAATCCACTATATGCTCAAGGAAATCAACCCACTCAGCGCTAATCTGTGGATCTACAGATTAGCGCTGAATGAATCGAATACCTTCAGTTCTTTTTAAAAATCTCCTTCTGAAAACGGGTTCAGGGTGTACCTGTCCAATGATTTTCTGAAACTCAGAAATCTAATGTTCGGGGTTAAGAATGGTGTTCACGGCTGTACTTCTCGTGGCACTGTCCACATATATTTTTCAACTAAAAATCTAGTAGCCCTTCAGCAGCGCGCCGTCACAAAGCCAGTTTTTTGGGCCCATGGGTACAGCAAGTATGCATGTCCTTAACCGCTGATAACACATAGAGGACTTATAAACGGCGATGTGCGATTCTTCTGGTGACGTATTTCCCAATTTACTATAAAAAGGAAAATTTTAACTTTTCTTCGCCAACCCCTTCCCTCGCACCCTCACCCCCATACCGCTCTAGCCCAATAACCTGCCAATAGGTTCGATTGGTACCGAAGGGTCGTGAAACGAAAAGCTCACTGCCGAGCAAGGGCTGAAGCCGCACTCGACTTCCTTTGGGGCAGATTTCTGGCAAAACAAAAAATTTGTTCCAACCCTCTCCCTAGACGATCGGTGCTGGATTGCCCATCTAAATTTAGGAACTCAAAGTTTTTTTTGTCGAAAATTCCCGGGACAACCTTAAGCCTGTATCGGCATAACTAGGATAGGGCGATGTAGCAATAGAGGTTGCTGTATGTGAACAAAAACGGTGAACATATCCATCTCAACCAGCCCAAAACTCTCAGAACTCAGTCTCAGCCCCCAGAAACTTCTCGAGGTCACTCTGGAGCTGCTGTAATTCAAAATACAAAAAATACATGAAGTACAAAAAAAAAAGAAAATTTGGCAAGAAACTTTGGAAGAAAAAAACGAAAAATGCCTTCGAACTGAAGCATATCTTACCGACAGCCCTCCACATAATCCCATCACTATACTTGTCACGTGCACATTCATAAATGAATCCTTCACCACGGTAGGTTTCATGAAGAAATATTGGACGTTTCCGTTTCTTTACGATCACGCCATTTGTCGGATCACATGCTGAAATCGTCGTTTACGATAGTGAAGCTGCTCAAGATTGGAGTTCCGGAGAAAGCTTGCTCACCGATCGGCTTCAGTTCCCTCTGGCTCTCATCACTGAGACAAGTGAATACGATGAAATTCTTCACAAACCATTGGCCTCTTTTGCATTTGTTGATTTCAATTGGGAAGTTCAGAAAACATATGACAGCCCCAATGAAGGTGAGTATTAGTAAGTAATGCATCCTTCCGATGCCCCTAGAAGATCCTATAACTACTTTCACAGTCTATCGGAATCTACTTTCAGTTCACGAATCAAAGAGCAAGAAAAGTAAAGAAGGATGTCGACGGGGTTGTGAGACAGGTAATGAGACACAACCAAAATTCGGTCTCGGGCATAGATTGAACGATACCTATTCAGGATGCTCACCTCGAGACATCGGCGACATATAATTGTGTCCAGGAGCAATTGCGAATCGAGATCGACTCGGTACAAAGGATCTGGAATGACTGTCTTGAACCATACAGATGGACATAATTAGGGAATCAGAAAACTTACTTCTACAGTGTCCCATTGCTATAATCCTAACGAGTGAGCAATGTTCAGTTACATCGAAATTACTGGTATCTCCTTCACTTAGTAAATCCTCCTGGGTTTAAGTGGAAATCAAATCACCTGAAAGGCACGGTTAACGATTAAAAAGGCTACTGAGTTTTCAGCGCCCCCATGGGTGTTAGAAGCGACCCTCCCGTCCCCTCAATCTCGGCGCTTAGGGCATAAGTGGAAGCCCTGTAGCTGCTGTAATTGGCTTTACGCCCCTCGATCGTTGTAACGTTAGACGAGTGTCGAGACAATACAGATTGCAACTATTCGTTCTAGGACCCACACACAAACAGCTGATCGCCGAGTAATGAGACGATGTTTCTCTCATTCTTTTTTCCTCTTATTTTTTTTTGCTGCAGCGATACCTTATTTAATTTCCTACTCCTAGAGGCTGAAAAAAGTGAGCTACTTTGCTGCTGCTAGGGTTTTTTGTTTACTTATGCTTATAATTGAATGAATTTTTACTCACCATAGTCTATTATTCGCACCAGGACCCACACGTACGCAGCGAGACACATCGTATGACTCGTCCGAACGCCCCACTCTTCTTCATTTTTCTGGTCTCTTTCTCGTTCAGAAACCTTTTTAACGGTTTTTCGTAGCCTTTTTTTACTTTGGAAACACCGACTCACGCAGTTTCTTCACCGACATCGCACTATTTTCGATCTTGTCTTCCATTTTTCATCATCATAATCTGGATCACCCAAAATTATCGTAAACTATGCCTTTAAGCTAAAATTACACTGAGACAGCACCTTTGTGACCAAAACCTATTTTGCATAAAGTTATAGCCTTTCAAGAAAGGTGTTTTACCACACAGACGCCGCCCATCTGGATAACTCCACCCCTCATTATTCTGATTCTCTGGTATATCGAAAACCATCCAATTTTTTATAGAAAAAAATCAAAGTAGCATGGAGAACATGGATTATATTCCTTCTGAGAGACCTAGAGCTAGCAAGAAAAGAGAACTGCTGGATTTATTTTATAATTATAGGACCTAATCACTCAAATGGGGCAGAGGACATTGTTGTTACCATCCGACTTGCTGAAACTAGGAAGTTGAAGTTTTCGGCACCTAATAACCAAGTGTTGGGATGCGCTCACGCTTCCGACACCTTTACAGTATCGTGCTGACGTTTGAACGCGGATCTGATCTGCACACTGAATGAAGTGGAATGGCCGATTAGCCACTCAAGCCATGAAGTTCTTTATACTCCCAGACAAGCCTGATAATGAGTTGCTGACCCAGGAATTTCGAAGGCTAGGTTGGCATACGAACTACCAACTAGGAATCGCTACTAGGCGCAACGGCACCTCTTCACGCGTTCGAAAACTGATTATGCAAATAATTTTGACACAAATATGTAACATGGAAGAGTTGAAGCATAGAAACATTTTGTTTTAGAGTCAACGCTAAAAAGAGGCCTCAACTCCTACTCGTTACTCTTTGCTATCATTGTCTTCAAAAAGAAATATCCTGTGAAGTGAACTGCTTATAAGAGCGCTTAAAGGCACAGTTCACGAACCCACATTATGACGAAAAATGGAATATAAGATCGAAAATAGTGCGTTGGAGGCGAAGGAACTGCGTGGGTAAGTGTCTCCGAAGTGAAAAAAGGCTTCGAAAAATCGTTAAAAAGGGGGGCTGGACGAGAATGTTACCAGAAAAATGAAGAAGAGTGGGGCGTTTTGACGAGCTACGTACAGTGCGTCATTGCTTACGTGTGGGTCCTGGTGCAAATAAATGACTACGGTAAGCAAAAACTCCTTCACTTATAAGCATTAGTAATAAACAAAAAACCCTTGTTACAGCAGAGATATGTACCTCACCTTTTTCAGCCTCTTGAGGTAGGAAATTAAAGAAATCGCCCTCCAGGGATAGGAAATTAAAGAAGGGATCGCTGCAGTGAAAAGAATAACAGAGTAAAAAAGAATGGAAGAAAAACATCGCCTCATTACTCGGCGATTAGCTGATTGGGTGTGGGTCCTAGAACGAATCTATATTGTCTCTCTGACACTCGTCTGACGTGACATCGATCGAGAGGCGGGAAAGCCACTAAAGCCAGTAACAGGGCTTCCACTATGCCCCGACCGACAAGATTTTGGGAGCGAGAGGGTCTCTTTTACCACCCATGGGGGCCACTGAGTACTCCTTAGAGAAGAACTCAGTAACCAATTTTATCGTGAACCGTGCTTTTAATAACATCAGCTCTATGGAGAAGGGACTCGTTCCACATTTTTTACTCAAAACGTTCTCTCGAATGGAATGAAAATTACTAAAACACCGTACGGAACATCTAGACTCCACAAAATTTTGTTAGTTCACCCTCCTTTATTCATCGCTATAAAAACAAAATACCGAATGATTCATTTTCCCTTTCGTCACCGGTTGGACTCTTGTTTGCTTGTATAAATACGGCTGATCATAGGAATTTCGACATTTGATCAATCTGACTTCTCTTTTCCTGTAACCTACAGATGGTCTTCTAAGATTCCCTGCCTTCAGCTCATTTTATTCATTTGTTCATTTCTTCAAACTTCTTTGAGTGAACTTACAAATAACTTATAATGTAGCTGTTTGCCCATAGAACAGTAGTATTATAGCTGTATTTACTTGATTGTTGAGGCCTAAATATAGCAGGCGATCCAGCCCGCTTTTGCGTGCGCTACCTCTGCAATCAGGTTCTGCTTGAGGTCTGGCTCAGGCTGACAGTACCATTTGACTGTCTAGGACCCAATGAGCTGGTGCTCTACCACTCGAGGAGAGAAAAAGAACTAGCGTATACAGCAGAAAGCTTCAGCAGTTGATTTAATTGCCTAAAAGGTATAAAGTTGAGGCTACTCTGGTTGGTAGTAGAGTATGTGACTTATCTCTGTCAAATGACTTATGCGACTTCTTTCACTTCTTTTTTCATGCTTTGTGTTATTTATGTACTCTCGCTAATTTGTATACAGGCGTGTTACTGCAGCGTAGGCCCCTCCGAGGCCCGATCGAGGCTTTCAGATATGAATAATGGTCCAAAAGCAAATATTTTTTTCACGAATTCCTCATAACATTGGTCTGAATGACGGCAACTGAGTGGCGATCGTTACATGGTGTATCAAAACCAGGTTTACCTCTTGGCTTGACAGGGATCTGTCTGAGTCACTGCCCACTGATAGAGGCCGTCGCTAATGTACTGTCGATCGAAAGGATCTTTTCTAGTATGGCTGAAACTACAGGGTCTGGTGAAATTATGGGAACGAACCTTGGGCGCATCATATCCGATTACTAGCCATATTTTTAGTACCAAACTTTTATTTTGTTTTCATCTGATTAACTGTAAACTCGGCTACACGCTACCACAGAAACCGGCTTCTCTCTGACCGTAAAGCCATCGTCCTGCCGTAATCCTTTCTTTGACATCCACCGTTAAAGAATCTAAGCGATCAACATCGCTCTTTTCTCGAATTTATCAAAATTAATGTTCCAAAGACTATCGACAGAGGCAAAGATTGAATTGTGAATTGACCGGAAGGTGCAGTTCATCGTTTTTCAGAAGGTGTACGGTATGCTTTGGTCTAAGCGATCATCCGCCTCGGCCAACTA